CCCCCCACCCCGGTGCCTACTCGCTCGAGCAGAAGGCGCCATAACGGTCGCGAGTAGGCACCTGGTCGCAAGCGTCAAACCTTTAACATTAAGTCGGATGGGGTTGGAACCAGCCGTATTTATTTTTTTATCTATTTCCACATTGTTGGCAAGGTATTCCGAGACATTGACATTTTCTGTTTCGTGTTTGCAGCAAGAAGAGGCCGCGGATACAAAACCTCCGCATCTACGAAAACGTGTGTTTCAACTCGCTGCTGTCCGATGATGAACACGTGGCCCTCGAGGTCGGGTTCGACCCGGAGGGCAACGGGCTGGCTCGGGTGAACTGGGAGTACTCGCGCCGTCTCATCCGCGGGGCGCTGCTCGTGTTCGCCCGGGACCTGTCCTTCACGTCGATCGTGCTCGCCACCGTCAGCAAGCGCGACGTCGCCCAGCTCAACGAGGGCCGGTTGACTGTGGAGCTGTGCGAGCCGGGCGTCGGCGAGGACCTGTTCACTGGCACTTACGTCATGGTGGAATGCATCAACTTCTACGGCGCCTACCTCCACCCGATGCGAGCCCTCCAGGCCCTGGATGAGGCTTCGGTCCCTCTCCGGGAGTACCTGGTGGAGGGTTCGAGCGCCAGCGTCGTGCCCCACTACCTGATGGCGGCGGCCCTGCAGGGCAGCGGCTTGAAGCTCCCTGCCGGGGATGCCGAGGGGGCGCCCCCCGCCCTGCTCCAGGACCCGTCCCTCTTGGCGGAGTGGCCCTCGGCTGCCTCCCTGGGCCTGGACGAGTCGCAGCACCGCGCGCTGCAGGGCGCGCTCACCAACAAGGTGATGTTGGTGCAGGGCCCGCCTGGCACGGGGAAGACCTACCTCGGGATCAGGGTGGCCAGGACGCTGCTCGTGAACCAGAACTTATGGAGGTGAGTGAGTGAGTGAGAGTTTCAAACATTCTGGCTAGCTACTTCTTTTTGCCCTAAACCGGTTTCAAGTCTTTCGGCCTTTTCAACCTTACTTAACTGCCTGTTTTCGACTTGCTGGCTAAATTCAATGCGGCTTGTTGTGCAGGTGCAACCAGGATCCCCGACCGCTTCTAGTGATCTGCTCTACCAACCACGCCCTGGACCAGTTCCTACTGGGGCTGCTTCCTTTCACCAACAACCTAGTGCGAGTGGGGAACCCCTGCCGGGAGAAGGCTCTGGAGCCTTATGACATATATACACTCAGGCGACAAAAGCTGCAAGGAGCTTTCGCCCTCTTCCAGATGATCAGGACGCACAGGGAAAGGTACGTACGGGGCACCACCGCATCAAACTACATTTTCATGAAAGTAAAAGTTTTGTTTATTTTGACTTTATAATGAAACCTTCGTGATGTCAGTTCGATGTCTGTCGCGTAAAGCGCTTTTGTCCTTGCCACCTTTGGTGTTGATCTCTAGGGATCGCAGATGTCTTGTAAGCGTGCGTTTTGATGAGAGCGCCTGTGCGCCTCTGCTATGGGACGGGGTGGCTATGGTGTACACATTCACCGCCAATGTAGGCACTGCCGTTTAAAATCACTGTCTCGTTGTCAAGGTTCAACAAACTGAAGGGTTTGCACGAGCGCGTGCGGAGCTGCCTCTCGCTGCTGCGCGCTGAAGGCGCGGGCATTCTCAGCCCGGAGACGCTGCACGCTTTTGGCATCATCACGGACGAGCAGCTTCAGTTCTTCGACGAGTTTCCTTTGGAGATTTGGCTCCTCGGCGAAGCAGGGAACACCCCCCTGCTTCTTGATCAAGTCCAGGAAACGATGTGGCGCCCGACGGACGTTGAGCCTTACCTGGATGTCCTGGACGGCGTGGATGTGTCCGCGCTGCAGCACACCGTGCGGCTCGCGGTGTCCGGCAACATGCTCAAGAAGGCGCTCGAGGACGTGGTGGCCGACGAGGACGCGCTGGCGGTCAGGGCGCTGCGGCACCTCGAGCACACGGTCGGGGCACGCATGACAGCGCCGGACACTCGGCCAGAAGGAATGCAGGCGGGCATGGGCTGGCTCGAACTAGAGACCCTGCCGGAGCCGCGGCGTTGGCAAGCCTACAGGTGGGCGTCAAGACGAAGTATTGCATGCAGACCGACGGTCTTTCCCTACCTCCTACCATATTTCTATTTTTTAAATGCATCACAGGTCGTGGCATGAAGAATTGGTAACTGAGTTAACTGCAGTGGCTGAAGAATTAAGTCTAAAGTATTCTGAAGGCGCACAGCTGGTGCAGGAATGCAGGTTGGTTTCTTATTGTTACTCAAACTAAATGTGTGCATCCTTCTTTGCAACTCAGCAAATGATTATTACAGATTGGTGCAGGATCAGACCATCATGTCTAACCGTATGGTGATTGGCATGAGCGTTTCATACGCTGCCATGCGTCACCGTATCGTCAAGCAGCTCAAACCACGCATAGGTACGTTAGTTTTTTGGACGTAAAAATCGCCGCCATAGCTGTCAACGTTCGAACCTCTGTAAGGTTTCTTATTTCTCAAAGTCGTGAGCCTTGAACTTGTGTTTTCTGATGCTTGAACAGTGATCGTAGAAGAAGCTGCGGAAGTCCTGGAGGCCGGGGTTTTGGTGTCTCTGGGCTCAGACGTAGAGCACTTAGTCATGATTGGTAATGAGACCGCTCTGTTTCCTTTGTGGTTAGTGAGAAACATGTTGATGCAGAATGTAATTTTGTATTTTGTAGGCGACCACAAGCAGCTGCGCCCCAAGACTTCGGTCGGGGAACTCGCCACAGACTACCATTTGGACGTATCGCTGTTCGAACGATTGGTCAACAACGGTGTCCACTGCGTCACCCTTAACACGCAGCATCGCATGCGGCCCGAGGTGAAAAGCAATTTTGTTATGCAAATCAAATCAATAACTTAGGTGGGAAGAGACATACAGATCAGATTCAGTTTTCGTTTTTATTTCCAGGTGGCGAGACTTATTTGCCCCAACATCTACCCTAAGCTGCTGAATCATGAGTCTGTAAACTATTTCCCCAGCATCCGAGGTATCACAAAAGATGTTTTCTTTTTGGATCATAAAAACTTGGAAGAGGAGGTGAGTATTCATGTATAACATATAGTTTGTGTCTTCTGATCTGGCGATTCTTGTGCCTATGATACAACCCTCCACTTATCATTCTCTTCTACAGCCGACATTCTTGCGCGACTCCAACAGCATGCAAAACAGCTTTGAGGCCCAATTTGTATCAGCTTTGGTACGCTATCTCCTGCTGCAAGGGTACGAACCATCGAAAATCACGGTGCTGTGCACATACAAGGCCCAACTCTACTTCCTGACCAAACAGGTACAAAAGTGTTTGTTTCTTTTTCTTTCTCGAAATTTTGTTAGACTTAGTAGTGCGATCCTCTTTGCCCCGTTTTCGTTGTGGGAAGTGCATTGTTCCGCCAATTGCGATTTTTGAACGCAGCTTCGTCCTGCGGACGCTCACCTCCGTGACGTGCGCATCACGACTGTGGACGAGTACCAGGGCGAGGAAAACGACATCGTGGTGCTGTCGATCGTGCGTAGCAACCATCACCAGGCGGTGGGCTACGTGGGCATCGAGAACAGAATGTGCGTCGCGCTGTCTAGGGCCAGACACGGTGAGTGGTCTTTAACATAGTAATCATCATACACCGCCAATGAGAGCGCCTGCAGCGCATTGGGTAGGCCGACCCGCCATGCAGCTCTGCGAAGACGGCGGCCCGCCCGGACGGAGCGTTGGGGCTTCAGGCACGAGTTCTAACTTTTGACGCCCATCGCCCCTCCTCGCGGCACCTCTGGAGGCTTTCACTGTGGGCAGAGGCAGGGGACAGGGCGGAGCGTAGCGCAGTTTTTCATTTGGAATTTGTTTGCAACGTTGCAACGTCCGAACGTTCAGGGGCACACGTGCGTCGATTCCACCCAAGTGTCGTGGACATTTATGGATATATCTTAGTTGAATCGGCCCTTTGTTTAGACGGCCGCACGAGTGTTGTGGGAGGGACCCTCTGTTTAGTTGTTTTAGTTGTTTAGGCTCGCGGGTCGCGCGTGCGTCAGCGGTCAGTGCCGCCGGCCGTGCTGCATACATGGCCTCGATAAGGGCTTTGGGTCGGGCGGCCGCCTTGCGGCGACCAGTAACCTACGACTTTCCTGGCGGGAGAAAAATAGTAGATGACAATGTGCCATTACTTTGACCGGCTCTGCACACTTCCACAGGATTCTACATGGTGGGCAACATGTCCACCCTGACGTCCCGGGGGGACTCTGTGTGGCGCGGGGTTCGGGAGGAGCTGCAGACGCAGGGCGCCGTGGGGTCCGAGCTGCTGTTGCGCTGTGACGTGCACGCCACCATTACGCCCGTCTCCTCGGCTCGCGACTTCGAAAAGTGTCCCCAGGTACGAGCTGTTGTGTGAATCCCTCGTGGCCGAAAGTTGTGCTGGGTTTTGATGACGAACAAAACTGTTCTGCAGGGGGGCTGCCTGAAGCTCTGCGGCGTAGCATTGTCCTGCGGCCACCTCTGCCCTCAGCTCTGCCACCCGTTGGACCAGGAGCACCGCCAGTACAAGTACGTGCAGTGCACGTCGTGCACTCGAATTTATTTCGTAGGCTAGGGAGTACGATACGTTGATTATGCGTGGTGCCCGTGGTGTAGGTGCCAGGAGCCGTGCGCGGAGGTGGTGTGCCCCCGCGGCCACCAGTGCCAGTCGCGCTGCTTCGAGCTCTGCCCGCCGTGCCCGGTGCCTAAGAAGGAGCAGTTGGCTTGTGGACACTCCGCCACCATGCCCTGCCACCGCGACCCTGACGACCACGACTGCCAGGTGGGTGTAGAGAGATTCACTTTTCCCGCGCGGAAAAGGCAGCAGGAGGAGTAGAGGAGTGTACCCTAATCGTGAACCAAGTTCGCATTGGCTGCTGAAAATGTTGACCGTTTGTAACCCGTTATTTCAACTCGCCTTTTGCCTCGGTTTCGCCCACAGGTTCAAGTGCAGGTGCAACTGCCGGACTGCGGCCACCCGCTGGTCGTCAAGTGCTGCAAGCGGACGGACCCGGCGTCGCTCGTGTGCGGCGTGCCGTGCCCCTACCGCAGAGACTGCGGCCACGCCTGCGACCGCAATTGTCACGTGCTGGACGACCCGCGCCACGAGGTGGTGAGTGACTGACCCCCGACTTGCGTCTGTGTGAGGTGAGTGCGAGATCCTGACGCGAGGCTGGCGCCGCGCCCCGTGTTGCAGTCGGTGTGCACCAGGCCCTGCGAGGAGCGCCGGGCCGGATGCTGCGGGGCCCACCGCTGCCGCCTGCTGTGCCACGAAGAGTGCGAGGAGTGCGACGTGCCCGTGACCAAGGCCCTGCCCTGCGACCACCGCCTGCTGCTGGCATGCAGCGAGCCGCCCAGCGCCGGCCTGTGCACCAAGCGCTGCCGCCGCCTGCTGCCCTGCGGCCACCCCTGCAGAAACAAGTGCCGCGACGCCTGCGGGCCGTGCATGGTGCAGGTGGGTGATGCGGTTTTTTGCTCGACGGCGACGGCCCTGGAGTCCTTGGAGTGAATTCATTAAACCTCGCGGGTCTGGGCCGCTCAGGTCGACAAGGTGCTGCCGGGGTGCGGACACACGCGACCCGTGGCCTGCTCGGTTGACGCCGCCCTGGTCGTGGACTGCACCGGGCCGTGCCCGCGCACTCTGTCTTGCGGCCACCCCTGCACACTGCGATGCTGCGACCCCTGTTCCGACTGCCGCTGTAACGCGCCTGTGCAATACCTGGGCCGCCCGGCCTGCGGACACAGCATTAGAGTACCCTGCTCGTCCAGTTTTGGTGAGTACGGAGCGTGTAGTACTCTAGCTGGAATTTATTCAAGTAGACGGATTTTAGTATATTCTCCAAGGGGGAAAACGTTTTGCCCTGTATTCAGTGCCCCACTACTGTCTTCTCCCCTTGCCACTTCAACCGTACATTCCACTTGCTCGCACGGGCTATTTCGTGTCGGTTCAAAGCAGCGCTCTCAGCTTGTTTTAACCCAAACAATTAGTGATAAAAGAAAGCAATACGACACGCTCACTCAAGGCGGGCCGTGGTCTGAGCGTCAGTCACGGTCTGCCCCTCCCCATTGCCTATCCCCATAGATAGCCCAGACGGGCCATAGTCTAGCTGCGACCTTTGACCTACACAAGTGGCTTTCGGGAGTTTGACACCCTTGCCGACCCTTGCCATAGTCTGTCCCTTTTCCCTAATGTCCTGCAAGTTGCCGTTCGGTCGGAACGGACCTTTGAAAATTGCAAGAGCAAATGACTGATAGGAAGAATGTTAGGATCTCTCGGCTCGTAGGGCTAGTTTTGAGATTTATTGCCACACGTGTGGTGAAAATTACGCGCGTGTCTTTAGTTTCTTGACCACTATGTGGTCACTTTCCCATGTTAAAGCATAGACACAAAGAATGAGCCGCAAGGAACGTGTTAAATTTGAGATCGTCCAAAGAGAACGTACGTTCTTCTTCATTCAGCAAATTGCGGGGCTGGGCGCCTGCGAAACTCCGGGTAGGCCATCCCGCAGTACACACATGCCCTGAAGGCAAGATGTTGCCTACCAACCAGGCGTTTTGAGAGCTACGGATAAGGCCGGCGTTGGCAGATGACACAGACGTACTTTCTGGAAGATCCCTTTCGCACGTCATGCGCTATGTTTGTAGTAAATGTGACTTAGGGACCGTTTAAATGGTGAAGTCAACTCTGAAATGTGTGTTTCATTCCAATAATTACGGAATTATATCTTATCGTATTCCAAAACTGTGGGCTTATGCTTCATACCACTGCCTTTTCCCTCGTTTTGTTTCGTCCTCCAACACGACACGGCAAACTCTCAGACCGAGCCCCTGATCCTGACAGATAGGCACCAGGCTACGCTCATATATGTCCGAGGGTTATGAAATTGCCTATCCTGCAGCCCGCAGGCGGCGGTCCTCCGACCTACGCGGGGATGGAGATGGAAGCCAAATTCAAGACAATAACGACGATTCTCCACTGCGCCAAAAACTCCTCTCGCTGCTCAATAAAGTAGTGCGTTGGCAGCGCGGAGAAGACTCCACGGAAGAACAAATTGGCTCGGAAGAACAAAACGGTGCGTCATTGGACGAGCGGTATACACCGCCTCCATTTCTCTCAGACGTTACAGGAATCCTGTCAACCATTCAGGAGCTCTTTACACTGTCAAAGATGACAACGGAATTTTCGACGGAATAAAATGCTTCGCTAATTTTTTAGCCGGACTTAACCGCTTTTTCCCAGTTTACGGAACATTCCCTAAAGCGACGCGAGAGAAAGTTGGGCGACCAACGTCCTCTTGTCCGACGCTCCCGCACCTGGGCGCACTGGGCGGGCTGCCGTCTTCACACAGATGCTTGGCGGGTTGGCCTACCTAGTGCATGGCAGGGGCCATACTCAGCGTCGCCTTGTGAATGAGACGTTCATTTGGGAAAACCTTTACGGAGAGTTATCGTACCTCCAAAATATGCACCCACATCCGAGACCACATCCGTCTGTAATCAATTTCTATTGGCCTGTATTTTGAAGGCACGAAACCCAAATAAAATCAGGCGCTGCTTTCCGTACACACGCCGCAATTTATTTTACGGATTTTTGTTGTCTCTTTGTTTTAAGATCCTGCTAGTTTCGAGCTGCTGCTTCTGTGCGAGGAGCCTTGTGGGCAGGAGTTGGAGTGCGGTCACAAGTGCGCCGGTACCTGCGGAGGGTGTCTTCAGGGTCGCCTCCACAGGGCCTGCCAAAGCAAGTGCCAACGAGTGCTAATCTGCGGACATCAGTGAGTTCCAAGTGTAGAGGTAACCACCTCCGAACCACTCGTGGGGAGTGGTCGCTGTTGTGCCGTGATGGGTCTTTCTCACTCCTCTCCCCTCTGTGCTGCCCTCAGGTGCGAGCAGCCGTGCGCCTCCAGCTGTCCGCCCTGCCGCAAGCAATGCTCGGTGCGGTGCCGCCACTCTCGGTGCTCTAAGCGCTGCGGCGAGCCCTGTGCGCCCTGCAAGGTGAGGGGTGACAGCACAATTGTGCCGATTATCTGGTTCTTAGATCCAGCGCAGCTTTCTTTAAAACCCTCTACGTGGTGCCCTGTAGGAGCGGTGCCCCAGCGTTTGTGTCCACAGACAGTGTGGCAGCCTTTGTGGAGTTCCCTGCCCGCAGGGCCCTTGCAACGAGCCGTGCACTGAAGTGTTGTCCTGCGGCCACCCCTGCGTGGGGCTGTGTGGGGAGCTTTGCCTTTGCCGACCCTGTAGCGACATCGAGATCTTTTTTGGCACTGAGGAGGACGAAGATGCCAGGTAAAGAATGACATCATGAAAAATTTAAATATCAGACCCTACCATTGAACATCATTGTATATTTTTATTTAAAAAAACAACAACATAGGCTTATTTTGTTGTTTTGTAATGTAACTGTGTTGTATTTCTTATCAGGTTTGTGACCCTTCCCGACTGCAAACACGTTTTCGAAGTGAGCTCCCTAGATCACTGGCTTACAGGCATTGATGAAAAAGGAAGTGAAATCAAAAAGAAGGTAAGAGCATCCCTTATTGCGGTTATTGAGTTACTGTAATAGGTTGCGAAAATGCTCGCGAAAATGTATAGAGTTCATCTTAATGGCTGTTTTTTCTTCTTTTTCATTTATGCTTTGGGTGCTCATAGGTCTGTCCAAAGTGCACAACAGTTGTAGCCACCAGCTTGCGATACAGCAACGCCATTAAACAAAACGCAGAGCATGTGGCTGAGATCAAAGAGAAACTATTTGGCACGTGGGATACCATAAAACCGGTGGTAATCGCCACCAGGGAAATTCTTAAGGCCATGCCAGCCTGTCCCGCAGGTGAGAAACCATGGGAAGTTCCTCGAATAGAACGAACAGCAGCAGGTTTGTACGGAATCTTTTCCTAACTGTTGGCTGCTCTACTCTACAGGCCTCCCCGCCCTGTCCGGGCTGGTGCAAGCGGTGGAGGGAGCGCTGTCCAGGGTGGAGAGAGGTTTGCCCGGCCCCAAGCGCCGTGCAAAGAGGGCTCCAACACTTAGTCTCACAGCTGTGCAAAGCCTGCAGCAGTACGCCGTCGTCCTCTCGGAGCTGTGCAAGTTGTTGACGACGGTGGAGCCCCAGCCACTACTATCCGCCAAACGGACAGAAATGGAAAACTTCGTGGAGCACCTGTGTGGAGAGTTCAAAAAGCGTGGTGATTTCCTGCGGATCAGCACGCAAGAGGTCGGTGAAGTGAATTATTGGGGTGCATTACCTGCATTCAGGATGGCCGGCCAGCCCTGTTCAGTGAATGGGTACACTGGCGCGTGCGGGCGGATTGCCTATATGCTCGGAGCAGTGAGGCGGCTATCGAAGATAGGCAAAGGCGCACGCAGGTCACCCATTTGCTGAAACGGGGCTGGCCTTTTAGTTCTCTTCTCTGCTGTTTCTCTCCGCTAGGCTGCAGATATCAACGCGGAACTGACCCGAGGTCGGCGGCTGCTTGAGGTGTGCCGCTTGGAGAGCCGTATGGTCCAAGGGCTCGTTTTGTCGTCGCACCTGCTCCAGAATCTCGCCGACCTTTCACGGATGGTCCGCGGTGTTGGACCCTGCTCCGAGGTAAGAAGCCTGTCGGTCTGAAAAGACGCGTTTTATCTAGTCCATGGCGATCAGATTAATTTTTTTACTCATATCTCTTTACCATCCCACCTGGTGGTAGAAAGGACGAGTTTGTTCTCAGTGCACTAAACTCCTAAATGTTCCCACTTTCATCTCAGAACCCTCATCATCCTTACAGACATGAAACTTATAGTATTCCAAACGTTTCTTGTTATTTTATTCTTTGCAGGCGGACGGGGCGTTGGCTGACGGATGGCTGCGTGATCTGGCGGTTGCGGCACGCTTGCTCGTCTCTAAGGAGGAGGTGCGGGCTGTGAGGGCGGCGCTGGGGCTTGCCCAGGGCCACTGGTTTCACTGCCCCAACGGCCACCCCTACTGCATCACGGAGTGCGGCGGCGCCATGGAGGAGGCCAACTGCCCCGAGTGCGGGGCGCGCATTGGCGGGACCAACCACCGTCTGCGGAGAGACAACAGGCTGGCCACGGACATCGACGGGGCCACAACCCCGGCATGGCCCCCGACGCTTCAGTAGTATCCACCGGGGAGAGTGTTTCATTGAGTTGAGTGGAAAGGCTCATCTTAAAGTGGGCGTTTAGAGACGATAAATAATGCCGTTTGGATGTCCCCCCCCCCCTTTGAGAAAAGGAGTGAATTTCTTCCACCCTGAGAGGGTTGTAACCTGTCTACAAAGAGCAGCTGCTCTCACCTAGATAAAAATGTATAAACAAACAATAATTGTTAATTTTAAGGGAGCCAATCAGCAGTCAGTTCTTGTGAGAACTTTACTGTCTGAAGTGGCATGAACTGACATCTTTCTCAGACTTGTTCACAAAAACCAGATGGGAACTTGTTGTGTCTGTAGGACATATTTTTATCTATTCTTCCCTGCTCCTCCATTAGCGGAGCGGGTGAATCTAATAGTGTAAGTTTCCCAAATGTCTACCAAGTCACGTACTACAGAAGCTTGAAATTTTATCTCTTGGACATAGAAATGTTAACAGTATTTATCTGTTCTTTCTGATTCTTTAACTTTTTCTCTTTTTTGCAAGTCAGTCACAGTTTTTTCCATTTTACTGCATGTTTTACTCAATTATTCATTACTTTTAATGGTGAAGAGAATTCGGTTTTATATCTTGTTCCAGCTGAAACTCAACAGCTAGTCAAAATAAAGCTGATGATAACTTTTCCATAATCATATAATTTATTTATTGATACACATCACAGAAGACTGTATCCGCACTCACCAAGGTGTTTTAGCACGAAAATCTACAGAAATAACACTCTGAAAATGATCTACACACAAATATATCCAGGTACTAGCAAAAATCATTGTCTAAATGTGATAAAAGCAATATGATCTTATTTCGTTTTATGATCTGCATATTGGGCTTAACAATATGTTACAAAAATACAGCTTTAACTAACAAATGGAGCCCTCTCTCTGATGTATCCATTCGCCTGCATTTGCAGATGTCTTAAACAATTTCTCACAGTCTTCATACAAAATATACAATACTTCTATACTACTATACAAGGAATTGGTTAAGTATAATTTCAAAAAGTAAACAGTTTTGAAACATTACTTTTTATTGTTGCTAAATAAAATAAAAAAGATATCAACAAAACATTTTTTTTAATAACTACTTGTGTAGGATCTAGTGAAGTCTACACAAAATATACATACAAGGAATGGGTTTACAACGACACAGCCACTTTAAAATCATTCATAGAAGAGAAATAAACAGTAGATCACAATGAAGCTGTACGGGACTTTACAGGGCAATGTTTGAACCAATGTAATTGCATTGGCAATAGAATCTATACAAAAATACGCAGTTACCCCTAAACTCAAAGTGAGACAACAGATTTTAAAAACAAAAGATCATTATTTAAAACAAGTAATTGTTCAGATAAAGCAAGAGTCAAAAGTAAAAATGTAAAGCACCTTCTAAGTTTAGAGGTACACCTATACTGGAAGAAATGAGAAGAGACAAAATCACAATTGGTCACATGGCTACAAGCATACCATCAGAGCAGTGCAAATGATTTAGGGTAATCTAAGCTATAGTAAACTCATGTTATGATGATGACAACTTGCAAAGAAAACATCTGATGAGAAAAAAGAAAAGAGAAATAGAGAAAAATTAGGAAGATTTACTCAATTGAAAGAAAGTAAAAATCTAAATTTTAGGTAACTTCTTTGGTTACTAACATGAGTGATATTCTTCTATACTAGTTTTCTTGAGAGGCCCTAGGTGTACAAATATTGTTATTTACTTTATGTAACATTAAAAATTGTTACATAGGTACATAGGTTAATCAGCAAGTGTAGCGATATGATAAAAGTAGTGAATGACATCAAAAAAATGTGTGTTTAAGTAAGACAATACAGCCTGCTTCATTCTATGGCTATACTTAAAAGCATAAGAGAATTAACTAAAAGATAACAAACAAAAGATCTGTTGTTGGATGCACATAGTTTTCCTCCAACAGAAATTCATTAGAGTCTCACCTGAAATCAATTGTTAAGCTCATATTTGGTGGAGTTTAAAATGAAGATCTTACAGCCATTCTCATGTAGAATGATAAACTTCTGGCAATGAAAAAATATAGAAAACCAAACTATTTAACACTTTATCTAAACATAGAGCTACGGCGACTTGATTTACTGACTCTGCCAACCAGAGCACATATTTTAAGAGCTGGACCTAACTTCAGACCCATGTATTTCATCATCATGTCTGAATTTAGAAGGACAAGTGCTTTCCCATCAATTTCCTGCAATAAAAAGCAAAAATATAGTTCAACAGAAACAAAACATTAGATAGATAACACACAAGTTTAGATTAAGAAAACATATAGAAAATTTACAAAATACACTTACATGTTTTCTAAATAAATCAGAATAGACCCTCATATTCGGATCTGCCGACGTTATGTACCAAATTACATCTTCAATTGTCCAATCAATTACTTCAGTTGGTAAAGTTCTAGGAGATGACTGTTCATCATTAGCTGTTGTTGAAGTTGCAGCAACTTGAGCTATTACCAATAATAATACAATTAATTTTTATGAACACAACAAATAATTAACTACAGATTCAAAAGAAAATTAACCAAATGCTGTATACATCTGACAGATCAAGACAAAGAAAAACTAGATTAGATGTCTTAATTTTGAAAGTAGTATCTTACCAGGAGAAGTGTGCCGCACAACAGGGGCTGCTGACGCAGTTGGAGATGATCGAACAGCTTGCTGAGGGGATGGATTTGATGGAACAGGGTTCTTTGTTGGTGCCAGATTAGATTTCTTGTTTGGGCATGTATCAGAGCTTTGGGCAGAATATCGACGTTTGATGGACGTTTTAGATATGTCCTCAGCTCCTGTGTGAAGAATTAATTCATGATCATGAGCTACCTGAGTAGAATAAATATTACAGTAAATAATGTAATATGTAAATCACTACCTTGACCATTAGTAGTACAATGCTCGCATATTGTTGGCTCTCGGACCAAAAAGTTGGCACAACACTGCATTTCCTCAGTCAATATTTCTAAGTGTGTCCACAAATCTGTCTCTGTTGTTATTACTGGTAAACGAAGTGTAACAGTCTTGTTTTCCAAAGGTACTGAGATAGAAGAGTTAAATGTTATATCAACATGAACTTTAAATAGCATGAACTGTATTGATTTAATATGTTACCTGTTATGTGAACTTTGCCCTGCCCTTGTCTAAGCACACCATACACAGCTGCCCGGTTTGAGGCAGCATCCACAAGAGATTGTATACAATTTCGTAGTACTCGGCTTACAACACCTGGTCCAAAAACAGGTTGCATTGATTGTACTGATTCTCTGTCAAGATATGGGCCTATCTTGCATGTGCGATTCACATAAACACGAACTGAAAAATATATTGAATCTGTTAAAATCATGTAACAAAGTCATAACATAGTTTTCAGAGAGCAGTTCAAAATTCACCTTCATTATCATTCCTTTGTTCAGATGATGATACCTGATTGGAATTTATACTAGATGCAACTCCATTTGTTTGATGGCCAGATGGACCAGCATCAAGTGAATGACCACTGATGGGAGCACCAATATTAGCAGAGTTAGTCATAATAGGTTTGGTAACAGGACTTGATATATCAGAAGGTGATAAAGTTGCAGCAGGCAGAGGTGCTGGTTTCAAAGGAGGTCCAGACAAACTGTTCTTGGAAACAGTTGAACTTTTTGGGACTGGAGAAATAGATACTGTAATTGGTGAGGTTGGTGTTGAAGGTGGTGTGGGGCTTGTTGGCGACCCTAGAAGTGGCGCCGAGTTTTTCGATTGTTCTTTTCTGACTGACAAAGGTGTATTTTCATCAGTTTCAGTGGCAGCAGGTACCATAGTGGATGGCTGCACATTACTAACACGAGCCCGGTAGCGATTTGTTCCTCCTTGAGCTGCAATATGAAAGAAACAGTGAAATTGAAGAAGAAAACCTCACACCACTTTACTTCCACTGAATGAAAGGTACCTTTCTTTCCAGGTGGTTGTAAAGGATGCCCACTCTTTGCACACCAACCCACAGGGAATATGTCTCTTGAATCATAACGGCACCAATAATCAAATGCTCCACGCCACCCATCAAAGGTTACATGCACCATGTCATTCTTGACTTCACCTAAAATATAGGTAATAGAACAAATTGCAGATTGATTAAACAAATGTGGAGATATTAATTATATAAACTCTTCATTGGAGCTACATCCACGTACCAACAGTGGCTGCACAAATGAGCATTGGATTCTTTTTGTCAACTGCTTCAAGTTTCATCCCAACTTTGAAAAAGTTACCAGATGGGACTGGGGGCTCACGTTTGAAGGCTTTGGTTGGTGCCATTTCTGCCATACTCAAGGTCTTCATCAAAAACTGGGGCCACATGGATGCATTCATTCGGAATCCTTGATAGATATGAAAAAATAGAGGAATTTCAGAAACGAGTACAATGAAAACCACTATCCTCATTTTCTTTCAGAGACAAACCTAGAGGAGGTTGGAGCATCCCGCCACCTTTCTCACAATGGCCAATTGGATGAATTTCATTAGAGTCAACTAATCGCCAAAAGTCGTTTTTGTTATCAGAGCCATCCAGGCGTAATCTCAAACGTGGTCCAAGAATACCAACCACAGTGGCAATGCATGTTGATGTCAAATTACGTGGGTCCAGAGCTTCCAGCTTCTGGTCAAGCTTAAAATCATTCTGGGGTGGAGAAGATGACTAAAAACAAAAATAGGAGAAACTTAGGAGACAGGTACACAGCAACAGCAACTTTAACACAGACAAAAGCAGCACAGCAAGTGTTGATATTATTTTATTTGACTCATACCTGTTTGAAGCATTGTGCTGGTGCAGGTTGACTGTTTGATTCTTTCATATAAGTTTTCCAATCAAATGGTTCATAAATATTCATGTTAGCACTTGGCACAGCTGCTGATGTGGATGGTGCTGTGGCTAGGCCATCAGGAAGTGTATTGTCTGCAATTTGGCTTTGAGTGTTGTCAAGTTCTGATGCAGTTAAGGTACCTTTCAGGTCGCCTTGTGCAGTTGACTCATCGATGGATGATGCAGGAGTAGATGTGGCTGGAAAGGCAACTGAAATATTTGTTGAAGTTACTGTAGGAGTGGAGGGTGCTACAGCAACTTGGTTTCCATTTGGCGTAGATCCTGTAGAGCCATTGCTTACTAAAACAAAAAACAAGAACACAAAGGTACAGAAATTTTCAATTGATATAAAAAATTCAAATAGGTCCAATTAAGGATAAAAGACAACATTCAGAATGATCTGAAGAAAAATAAATAAAGAAGGTCAAATGGACTTACATCTATTGTTGCTTTCTCGTTTTACATATTTTTCAGAGCAGCTTTGACTGCAAAAATGTTTGGAAGCATTTCCTTCCAAACAAACTGCTGGACCATTAATTATACCATCACAATATAAACAAGAACCCTATAACAGAAATTAAAATAGGTTATAATATTTATTTTTTTGTTAAACCAGAGACTAGAAAGGCAAAATCTTACTTTATTGTAGGCTTTGCGAAACTCTCCCAGGCAAACTGATGAACAGAACTCCTTTTGCCCATTCCGTGCCGGAAAAATAAAATTAAGAGTCAGTCCCTTTTCAGCACACCATGTACAAGCTTTGCTCCTGGAAAGCCGTCCTGCAAAACAAGACGTTCAAGAAGAATGTCAGATCAAGAGAAAGATAAGTTGGGGATTTAAGTAAAAGCCTTATAATTATTATTAAAAAACTCTTCAAAGCAGAAAACGGGTTTATCATACCTCTGCTCTTTGAAGGAGCACCAGACATTGTTCTGCATTTGATCTTTATTCTTCAAGAGCAGTTTGCTTATGTATTCAACTGGAAAACAAAATCAGTAGTTATAAAAACATAGTTCGAGTTCGATCGAAATATGATCATGTTTAGTTAGTTAAACGCTACTGCTACTGTGATGCATTCAATGGTCTTAATGATAGTTTACCAGTCAAACAAATAGAATTTGGAGCATTGACCTTACTATTTGACACAACATTCTAATACCCAAGAGCAAGCTTCTAGAGGGCACGCATATCTCAAAACGACAGAGGTTAAAACAAACAAAAAATCAAAAAACAAATAAATAAATGAAGATTGATCAGTGCCGTAGGATAGCAATACAGTTTAGGTCAAACAAATGACGTTGGAAACTTCTCCGACCATCAGGAATTCAAAGAAGTAGTAAAAATGGTATAATAAAACCATATGATTAAAGATCGTAATCATGAATAACGATCTTAGGTCGTGTCTAATAGAGCAAAGCCGCAAATAAAATAATCAGCGCTGCGGCTAGAGCAAGTAACACAAAACGCCAACGAATAAATATTTTGATGTGTTGGTGGGATACGAATTAAGCCAACGACATGAAAAATATCAGAGTGGAGACAGCTCTACGTTAAGTAAGAAATAGGACTGCCAAAATCCCTCAGCAAACAATATAACCTAACAAAACTGCAGAATGACAACACCCCCTCACAGCTGAGTAGGCAAGACCCACCTTCCCACCGAACACGGCTGAAACGACAAGTAAGACCTCTCAGGCTGTGAAAAATATAAAAGTCGGGATCTCACGACTTTCATACATTACCCAACCCTCGAGCAACTTTGCCAAAAGTCGTAAAATATAGCGAAATTTTGTAGAAAAAATCACTTTTTAGTCAGCACAAACACAACATCGCCATGTTGATTACGATGTGCCTCTCTAGCGCGTCCTTTGGACCGTGGTGCCAATGGCGAACGTTAAGATACCAGGACTACGATCAAAACATCAGTTGAGAATTACAAAATAGCCCCAGTAAATTTATTAAACCCAAATAAAAAAATATTCAAAGTAGAATAAATTCGTTTTTGAGGAAAGATAATGAACGGTGAATCGGTTTAATCGAAGTATTATTGTTTAAACAGTTGGTAGCGGAAGGACAGATCTGTTCCCTGCGCGCCTGTACGCGTTGAGCTGCTCATTCGCGCATTCACGCGTTGGAGTTGGAGGGCAATACTTCAACGACGCTTTGACGTGCGAAACGCGTCTTTCGCACCTATCTATTGGAATGCTGTGTTCTTTCATTCTTGCACCAGTAGTATAGCCTGACCTCGATTCGAGACCCAGCCCTAAAAAAATAATCATTATTGATTAGGGATCGGAAATCGCAATCGCACGGGGAAGAGGGGTGGGGGTAAACGCCTACTTTGCTTTCCCCCCATTTATTTATTGCTCTCTTTCCTGCTCTTTCAATGTGGATGCGATACCGGCCCAACATCGAGGCAACATCAATAAATAATTGCCTAAATAACGAGATATCAGACAAGGTTTGTTGGCGAAAGCAGCCAAATAACGAGGAACAATCAGAGCGAGGGCTAAATGCGGGCTACCCGCTTTTCGAACGTTTCAAAGTCCGAAGCAAAACTAGTGACGAAATGGTGGGAAAACGGCTCAGGAATGATCAAATGAAAAACATATGATTGAATTGTTTAATCATAGAGTCAAGTAGCTCATTGTACTTACGGACTTGGATAGTCGCGCGGCGCTGAAACTGGAGTGTATGTTGTGATCTATGTTTAGAAAACTCTTGGCACCCGACCGAGTCAAGGCGAGGGGTGGGGTAGTGCAAGAGGGGTGCACCGGTGCTGCACCGCTCGGAAGTTGCGGCAGCACAACAACTTAGTTTTGGACACTAGGCGAGGCGTCAATATGGGGACCGCGGAGCTGGAGTCCATGAGCTTGGACAGCAAGGACCGCGAAGATGGCGGGTGCGCGTCGGCTGCCGCGACGCTGCCTGACCTGGCGCTGCTCCTCGTGCTCGAGTACGTGGCTGCCTACAACCTCGACGACGTGGTGTCCGCGGGGCAGGTGTGCCGCCACTGGCGCCGCGTCGCGTCCAGCAGCGAGCTGTGGCGCCACCGCAGCCTCCGGAGCCACGGCCTCGCCACGCAGGCCTTCACGCGGGTGGTGACCTTCGCGCCGCGCCTCCGCGCCATGGACGTGTGCTGGATCAATCAGATCAGCCCCGAGGACCGCGCCGTGCGCAAGGCCGCTCTGCTGCGCTCCCACTGCAAGGTGAATAGTCGGCCCAACCCGGGCTCTGTCCATTTCCTGTCGATCCCAAACCAAACTTTCCTCCGTCGTCACTTCAGTTGACCTGCCTTACGGGGGTCATGTGCCACCGGGACTCCACGTGGACGCATCGCCTACTCGCCCTCCACGGCGCGCACCTCAAGAAGCTGGAGGTGTCCACAGTCGACCGGCAGGCTCTGCAAGCCCTTGGAGTTATGCCCCGCCTCCGTGTCCTCCAGGTGTCCGGCTGGGACGCCGAGCTCTACGAAGAGCCCGTCGTGGTCTTCCCTCCAGTCAGGTGAGCGGAGTCCCCGCGCATAGCGAGCTTCCGCGGACAGTGACACCCGGATAGTTAGTAAAATCATACTACGTGATCGAGTTCTGGGGGAGAAAGGCCGGGGCGGGGGAGGGGGGCAGAAAATCGCAAAAATCGGTCAACGAGTGAGTATGAGAACGGCCAACGGCCCCACCCCACATACATTGCGCTGCTGCAGGGAGGGTGGGATCGGGCCAGGCTGTTTGGATGCCCTGGAGGTGCAGGGGCTGCCTCGCGCCACAACAATCTCCATGCTCAAAGCCAGTCGGCGGACGCTGCGAAGGCTCAACCTCGGCGTGGGTACTACCGGTGCGCACGAGAAGACCCATGGGAACTGGCCCCGGACGTGCAACGACCTGTCGCAGGTATGAATCAGTCACTAGAACGTCAACATTACGTCCCCGTGACGTTTCTGTTTGTTGGGTTGGAGTCGTTTGGATGATGAGTACCTCGACTGTAAAGCATGTTGGTACCTCCTTTCAACACAGGTGCTGGCTGACTGCTGTTTGGAGGGGCTACAAGAGTTGATCTTATACCGCTTTGCAGGCTGCTACCACACCACGTCAGAGTGCATTCAGCAGAGAAGTTCTTTGGAGCAGCAATTCCGATTTTGCCTTGTTACTTGCAGTGATTGTAGTCCATACACATTTTAACAGCTTTGAATGATAAATGATATACACTGAAGTAAAAAATAAAGGCAAACAAAAACAGAGAGAAAGTGTATGAATAAGACAGATTGAGCACAGTTAATACATAACTTTAATTCTATATTCACATTTTAAAATGAAACAGTCAAATTGATTAAACAATAGAATACATATCATCAATATGTAGGAAATATCAGACAAAATTGCAACAAAACATTATTGTCTGCAACAACAAAATACAGACAAGCGTGGAAATCACAAAAGATTCACTCAAATAATGGTATCTAATAAGTTAATAAAATTGCTGTAGATAAAATCGTATGCCTCTCACACAGCTACCTGCAAATCAGAAGTGCAGTGTACTGAGATTCAAAATAAAAATGCATCTTGAATTTCAAATGAGGGTGTACTTAAATGGAATGAATATTCAAAGAAAATGTTGAAATGACTAGAAGAAACAAATATATCATGATTTTTTCCCCAGAATTAATGGTAAATTCATTTTCTACAGGAAGCAACAGCTTCTAGTCAAAATCTATAGGTGGAGAACCAAACTTCTATAAGACAATTGAATTGATAAAAATGATGAAAATTGCTTTAAAGACAACCTATAAATTGGGATATAAATAAGATCACAGTCCAACATATGTAGTACTATCCTACTTTACCTTAAAACTACAGAAGTATGCTATTCATGCACATGGACTAGACCAGTCTAGGTATATTGTAGGAGCTCAGAAAAACACAATACAGAACGTTTCAATCTATGATTGAAACATACTGTGCAACAAAGAAATATTAAATATAACAAGTGTTGCAATCTACACACATGCACAAGATGGATAAATACCTTGACATAAAATACAGTCTAAAAATTATTTCAATAGCTCAACTCACCAACATAAAAAAGGCTAAACAACAATCAGTCTTCTCAACAAATTCATGTAACAGCATAAATAAAAATGGAATGTGAGTAGTTAGATACTACATACTAACTGGTGGCCACATCAAAAGATGTGCACCTAATTAAAGTGGACTGGCAAACTACGTACATATTTTTTAAATGACAGTGTAAGAAATGACGATTGCTGTCGACCTAATACGAGCAGGCAACCTGCCCGCACTCCTGCAAGCCCTTACAGTATTAATTGTTAACTTAAGTGTCCACAGATACCTCATATACCCCATGCATGAGCCGACTGTCTCAAACAAAGGCTACCGTTCTGGGACTAGTCCTCGTCCAGTTTGCCCCTCATGTCCACCACGGTGGCGTAGTGCTCCACCATGTCCCTGCACCACGAGCAGCCGGTGGGGTCGTGGTTCACCATGACGGGGTGGAAGCGGTGCCAGAGGCTCTCGTCCTCGCAGACCCGGCCGTGCGCGCGCATGCACTGCGGGTACGCGTTCTCCAGGTGGCCCCTGACGCCAAGCCCCAAGTCCAGGAACACGTGCAGGGCGGGTCGGTGGCGCAGCAACCGAAGAGCCGCGGGCACCCGGCAGCCGAGCGTGTCTTCATGGCACGAGCCGATGACCGTGAGCTCGCGCAGCCCCGGGCACACCTCGGCCGGGATGGCGTCCAGCACGGCGGGCGCGGGCATGGTAGCGATGGTGAAGCGCTCAAGGTGCACCAGCTCGCCCAACACCGCAGGCAGCTCGGCTGCCGCCTCGGGCTCGCCAAAATTGTGGATGCGGACGTAGCGGAGGCCGCGCAGGTCGGCAACGGCGCGCAGCAGCTCCCTGCAGCCCATCGTCATGCCCTGGAAGAAGAGCGTGCGCAGGCGGGCCGTGAGCGCAGAGCCACGCAGGACCGCGGCCACCCGGGGGACGAGCACGCGCACCGTCTCGTGATCCAGCCACTCGCTGTTGAGTTCTAGCGCCTCCAGGAGCGGGCAGGCCTCCAGCGCGCGCACCTCCTCCAGGAAGGGGACGTTGGCCTCGCGCAGGAGCGGGCACTGCGCCAGCGCCTCTATGACCCGGCCCTCCGTCTTGGGCGGTAGCGACACCGTCTCCAGTGTATCCTTGCTGGCCTCCACCAGCGCGTCCACCACGCCCCCCAGCGGACCCCGGGGGCTGGGCTGTGGCACCAGCTTGCAGTACAGGTCCAGGTGGCGCAGACCGCATAGCTGCCCCGGTGCCGGCCGCCAGTCCGTGTGGAAGTAGCTGTTGCGGCCGTCGTACTCGTGCAGCGTGAGCGACACCAGGTCCAGCTCGGCCAGAGTATGCCACAGATCCTCACGAAATTCGGCGCGCTGGTGGTCCCACCACGAGTGCACGTGCAGGTGGCGCAGATACCCCAGCTGGTTGCGCACCATGCGCAGGGCGATGGGCTGGAAGTCAGGTAGAGTGAGCGAGCGCACGCGGCAAGGGGACGTCGTCAGCACCTGGAACACAACAAAGTCTTAACACAGCTTCTGCCACAACGCAAGTTGATTTTCATTGCTCTGACCTACTGGAGTTTGGAAACATGATGGTATCTCGTGGTATCTTCTAATCTGACTCACCTGAAGTTGCTCGTCGCCTACATCATCATGAACAGTCAGATACTCTGATGAAATGTACACACTTTGCAGACAAGGGGCAACTGTCATGGCCCTGATGATTTCATTCAAGTCTTTCTTTACCGATATTTTGGACCACAGCATTCGATCACGACAAAGTCGCTGCCACTGGTGACACACTTGGCTGACAACATCCAGTAACAAGTCCGAACTCAAGTATGAGAAAATTGTGACAATCAGTTCTTCTGGCAAATCTTCAAACTTGGTCTATATCAAAAACAGAATAGATTATAACACTGAGCTAATGTTCAATGAAAAGGGCAGGGTCAGAAGAAAATTAAACCATACATCAAAAGGACATTTGCTGTGAACACTTCGAAGTTGTGAGAGCATCCTTTCACTTTGTTCCAACTGGTACTTTAGCTTTGATACCATCTTCTGCTCAGCTTTAAGCTGTAGTTCCAACTCATGACAACGTTGGAAAGCCTCCTCTGCTGTCAGGGTTGGTGTATGCGCCGAAAGAATGGAAGCGATTGAGGCAGCAAAAGGGGCAGTCAATCGGCTACTTGAGCTAGATGCATTGCCATTGACCTAAAGTAATAATAAAGGTCTTCTTAAGATTAAATGCATAAGGCAAATTATGACACCAGTAAAACAAAGAAACTTACATTAGACTTTCCATCCATTGAAGAAGAGTGTTTGATGAAAGTGTTTTCACTGTCATCCCTGATGCTAAGCTTGACTATCAAATCATTTGTCAGAACATCCTCTTGTCCAGTCTCGCTTATCCTGTCCGTTGCAGATGGCATACTTGACAACCTATGAGACAAACACAGCTAATTATGGTTACAATTTAATTCATGGCTTTGTTGAGAACTAACAATTACAATAATATAAAAACAAACAGGCTATGTTTGGTTGGGTTGCAATTATCCCAAATACGAGAAAACTGTTGCGGAGGATGTGAAATGATCAACAAAAATCACAAAAATATAACAGAGGTACTCAACAATCACAGAGCTACGAAGAGGAAAACAGAAAACAAACCTTATTATTTGCCGACGTGTTTACAAGTTCTGTTTACAACCGTTCAGCAGACGCGGGGACTTTGGTCAGAAATAAGTGAAGAGGAAAAGTCCGGAGTAGGTGGGACTAGTTCTTCATTAAGTTGCGTTGTTCAATGATATCGGACCACAAAAATCTACAACTTCGGCATTAATTTTTTGAGAACATGGAGTTAGGACTTTGACTTCCAGCTCCTCCTACGAGGCGAGATGTCAGTGTCAGTGCGGAGGTGCAGGGTGGGTGCAGTGCGTGCAGTGCGACCAAACTGCCAACAAGCAGCCGAGCGGGCCCAGCAGCCGACACAGCATGTCACATGCCGTGCGAATAAGAAACCGGAGGAATCGGCTGAAACAGGGCTTTGTTTATATTTATGATTTATGTGTTATTGATGCATGCTCCGTGATTAATACGACTAAGTTGTTTCGTGGATTTTCAAAGCCACAATGCTTAGTTATAGAGTAAATTCATTCAACGATGTAAGTTTGGGAGAGCCGGAGCAGGACGCTAATTCAGCTTTGACAGAATTGGATAAAGGTTAGTTTCTCACTGTTGTTTTGTTTACCTATAGAAATGTTAGTAACTCCTATTGTTTTGGCTTCTGATATTTATTTAATTCTTGGTATAAAGACCAACCAGTATTTTGATCTTTTAATGACAATCATACCATTTGTTGCAGGTCTTCGCTCGAGCAAGATTGGTGAACAATGCGAAGCAATTGTCAGATTTCCTCGGTTGTTTGAAAAATACCCTTTTCCTATACTCATAAACTCTTCTTTGCTTAAACTTGCTGATGTTTTCAGAATGGGGTAAGTTTGATCATCATGTGGTACTCTGCCTTATCAATTTAACATGCTTTTTTATGCAGCCTTAAATTATTTCAGAAATAATTTTTTACGGCTTTGGGTACTCCGAGTCTGCCAGCAAAGTGAAAAACATTTAGATAAGATATTAAATGTCGATGAATTTGTACGAAGAATATTCAGTGTAATTCACTCAAACGATCCGGTACATCTATTGAAGTTCACTTTTCTATTTTGTGAGTTATCATTTCGAATAGATTTTTATACAAACTCATTAATGTTTCAGGTGGCAAGAGCTCTCACTTTAAGAACTTTGGGTAGTGTAGCTGGAATTATTCCAGAAAGACAGCATGTTCATCACAGTATTCGCAGAAGTCTGGATAGCCATGATAGTGTGGAAGTGGAAGCTGCGATATATGCGGCTAATCAGTTTGCTTCTCAGTCAAAGTACAACAACGTTTTAAATTCGAATGCTTACTTTTTTTTCTATTTCATATCTAAGCACCACCTTAATCTGCTTTCAGGACCTTTGCTCTCAGTATGTGTAACAAAATGTCAGACATGATCCAAGGATTAACAACTCCAGCTCACATGAAACTTCAACTCATACCTATACTGCAGCACATGCATCATGATACATCTACTGCTGCAATGGTAATGAGTATGGGAAATACTTGCACCATCATTTGATGCTCTTGAAATTAGTTTTATGATTGATTTTTACTCAGGTTCAAGAGCTCTGCACAGATCTGCTCCCCAAGTACCCCGCTCAGGATTTTGTACCTGTCATTCTTCATACTTTGACTCAGTTGGCTTTGGCCACTCTTGTTAATGTTCCAAAGCAAGTAAGAAAGGATAACAGGTTCTTATAAGTGTTCAGTTTGTTACACAGCATATTAGCTCAAAGTTACTTTTCTCCAACCAGGTTAGCCTTCTTCTCCAACACCTCAAAGATGATCAGAGACCTGTTGTCCGGCAAGAAGCTCTTCATGGCCTACGTCTCTTGGCAGCAGAATGTGCACATCTGTGGCCGTCTGGCACTGTGGAGGAGGTGGTGCAAATAGCTGATAACTCTTCTTCGCAGGCTGTTCTAAGCCGTTGTCTGGACGTGCTTCAAGTCCTTGCCAAATCGTCTGCTGCATGCCATTCTCATTTATGCCATGGTCAGACATATGTTAAGCTCATTTATGAAAGTTACAGGAGAAAGCGCCCTCTTTGTATAGGACTCTTATAGTGTGACCTATGAAATTGTAAAAAAAGATTTCCATTTCAGATTCACCATTAATGGAACTTTGCAACAGGACATGTTATTCAAGTGATCCTAGTATAGCAGCAAAAGCAGTGCAAGTTATTACAAGAATTGTGTGTTATAGGTAAAGATGATTGTTTTAATTTGAAAGTATACAAATCTGTAGGGTAATACTAATCTGTGCTGCATTCAGATTGCCTCCCATAAATATATCTCTCTAACTAAAAATTCTTCTATTTGTTGCAAGTTACAAGGAGGAGCATACTCAGGATGCAATTTCTCAAGCTGTAGATGCTGTAGAATCCTTATTCCTTCTCATTACTGTTGGGCAAAGCCAAAAGTACCTTCGTGAAATGAAAATATGTCTTCAGTGTGCTGTAAGTCTTTGTACCGTCAATCGTCAGCTTTGTAATAATTTTGTTCAGCTCTTTGGTACACGGCTTATGTCAGGTAATGTCTTACAGATCCTACCATTCTTTTATTCAACCATGCATTTTGGAAAGTGTCAATGTATTTTTTTTTTCTTCAGGATCTTGTAACTCTGAACTTTGTGAGGCACTGGGTGCAATTGGTAATCTAAGACCATCAGCTCTTCTCTCACTTATACCAGACATTCTATTAAAATTGAAAGAATTGACTTCCACCAACACTTCGGTTGAACAAAACCAATTGAAGGTTTGTCCCTCATCATGATTTTGTTTCAAATTCTTTCCACTAAACATAAAACCATATCTTTATCACATCTTTATTAGGTAAATTTGGCACAAGACTGGGCATTCATTTTCCTAAGTTTCTAATTCTTTGTGAAAATTTACAGGTTATGCTGTGTACTCTTGTTTTTCAATCTGCTGTTGGATTTACCTGGAACCCTGAAGCTAGCGATGTAATAAAGTGTGTTGTGAAAACAAACGACCAGTGGGCAAACTTTAGGACTATGAGAGCTGCTGCCCGATATGGTCATCATTTTATCTCATCTTCACTTGCTGCTAGCCTAAAAGATCATGTCTCTTCTGAACATTTCCATTTTTGGCTTGTTTGTCTGGAAGAATTAAGCTTTGGGGAAGCACAATTACATGACAGCAAAGGAAATACTTGCTTAGAGTCAAGGATAAGTCTTGCAAGTTCTCACTATTGTAAAGCTGCTGCTGCATTAAAGGTAAGTTTAACTGTCATTAACTGGTACCACCTTACTTTATTTATCTATAAAATTGGCATTATTTTCTGTCATATTTTTTTTTTCTTTTTGTTTCAGGCAGCAAGTACTCCTGCTCATTGTCTTCAATTCCAGTCAGAGTTTATTCGTTTGAGAGGAGAATTCTTACAACTTTTAGCTCAGGTAGTACATTGCTGCCGTAGTTATTGCACAGCTCCTCCACCAGCTGTAGCTGGGTCCATGGCAACTGCAACTCGTGATGACTTATTACGATTTGGTCACATTACTCCTGAAGTAAGCCAAGTCTCCAGTAAAACACCATTGAATAATTAAATATTGACAAGCAGTTGCTTTAATCGTAAATTTTTGCTTATAGCTTCGTAAGTGTGCCAAGGATTTAAGAGCATGCGGTGAGATGTATTGGAAACTTTATCAATCAGCTTTTGATGCGGATAAGTGCTCATTAGCCAATATTCAAATGTATCCTTAATGCAATTGAGATTTTAACAAGGGCTACTTTGCTTTCGTTTTATTTCCACTGTAGTTCAGTATGACCTTAACAAGTTTTCCAGATTACAGCAAATGTGTGTTCTCATGGCTCACAGCATTGAAAGGGTTGTTATTACCAACTACCAGGAGGAGACAGCATTTGACTGCAGGTTGGTAACGGTATGGCATTAGGTTACATGAAAAACATCAAATTGTAGTGAAATTAAAATGAGATCATTATGTTCTTTCAAGTCTTCAAGAGTGCAGTTTAGAGACACAATATATGGTAAAATGTTGCCAAGAGGCTGCTGGTCTTGCTCAGGCTATAGCTACAATTCAGGAAGTCAAACCAGTTACACATTTGGTAAGGATGTAACTATATGTTGGAAATTAGAAGTAAATGTTCAGTTTTCATGGAAATTTACCCAGTTTTCATGCCACTATTTTGCAGCATGTCGATGTAGTTCTTAGACAAGCTGAAATCTTGGCAAATACTTCTCTGTGTATACCTCGATTTTTCTTCCAAGTTCTTCAGTCTACAAGTGTCAAGGTAAATTATTGTAATATTGTCTTAAGTTTAATCATTCAATTTGTTGTTGATTTTTCATTTCAACTGTATGCATGAAATCAATTTTTCAGCTTGCTGTGAGTCCACAACCCAGAGTTATGGGAGAAAATATCAGTGTACAAGGTGGATCACAGCTTGCAGTCAAAGTAGAGGGTGTGATACAGCATGGGAAGCGTCCAGGACTGTTCCGAAGAGTCAATAGAGTAATAGTCTCAGTTAACTCCCAACTGCAGGCTAGGCCCAATGTTCAACTGGATGTCAAGGTATTCTATTTTTCAGTTTTCTTCCATGCTCATTTTTTACTTGTTCTTTACCATCCTACCTGCACCTACTTAGTGGTTGAAAGAACGAGTGTTGTTCTCAGTGCAGTGTAACACCTGAAATGTTCCCAATTGCATATCAATACACACAAAGCTCATAGACATACTATTCTAAACTGGGATTGCTGGTTTTGATTTCCTCTACTGTAAGAATTTTTTTTCAGGTGTAATAGTATTCTTTTGAGAACTCAACAAATTTTGCATTGCATTCAGTTTAAGTCCAGTCACAGCTTATTATAGTGGACATTTTAATCTTAGATTATTCAAAACTAAAATTTGGAAAGTTTTCTTTTGAAGTGTGAAATAGCCACCTCCCCCCACCCCACCAACCCCCACCACCAACTTCCCTAGTCTTTCCAAACCCTCCTCCCTTTTCCAGCATCTTGTCTTTGCCCCTCCCCATCAACACAACATGTTAAGGGCTACACTGCACTCAGAATAATACTTGTTCTCTTACAACCAAATCTACTGAGATAAAAGACTCACCCCAACTTTAAAATGATATCTGGAAAGAACAAGTTCCATTTTCACTACAAAATTCCTTTTGTGTTTTTTCCTCCCTTGTTTCTTAGTTTAACATTAAAATTTATTTTTATCTGCTGCATTTTCTTCCTTAGATGGCTGACACAGGGTCTGTGCTTTCACAAACAGTGATTCCACATCGTGATTTCTTCACAGCAGAGTTTTTAATGGCATTTTCAGTCGGTGGACAGTATATTTTGACCATTGAGGCTAGTGTGATTGATGAAAAGGGTAATGCTTGGAGAACTGGTCCAAGGCAGAGTCTCAGTGTTCGCAGCCATGAAGAAACGCCAAAGACATCAAATGTTCAACAAGGAGCTGCAAATCAATCTAGCAGCAGAGCTCGTTACTAAATTGATTCCATTCAGCTATTTGGTGCACATGCAAGTATGTCCATTGTATCTCCTGGTAAAAGCAGCTGTTAAAAATGAATTTATGTAACTGAGAGGAATATTTTTTTTAAACCTTTATTAGAAAAACACAAACAATTGTAAAATCTATCAAAATAAAAAATTAGGTTTTGATAAAAATAATAAACCTAATCATTACATCACAGTTAAGTTAAGTAAGGTTTTGGAATGATAACATCAACATCATATTGTACAAATGTCATGCATTTCATAATACAATTTATATTTTGTAATAATAGTCTTTAAACAAAATTATGACTGGGGAACAGGTTGTTATTGGGTAGTATCAGAACTTTTTCTTCTGAAATCCCCCCTTGTTCCACCTGTTTTCTCCATCAATTTGATATCATATATCAACATGTCATGTGTGACAGCCTTACACATATCATAAATAGTAAGTGCTGCAATTGATACAGATGTCAATGCTTCCATTTCTACCCCCGTTCTTCCCTCTGACTCAACGGTTGCAGTAATGAAGACACTGTTTGTCTCATCATCAATATCAGCGTTAACCTTAATGGAAGATATAAAAATATTGTGGCACAAAGGAATAACTTCAGAAGTCTTCTTTGCACCCTGGATGCCAGCGATTCTGGCAACAGTGAGGACATCCCCCTTCTTCATGTTGTTGTTTCGAATTAGTTCACATACTTTTGCTCCAACAAATATTCTCCCACATGCAGTTGCTGATCTTTTAGACGTGCTTTTATGACTTACATTGACCATGTTTGCCTTTCCAGAATGATCAACATGAGTTAATACAGCTTTATCTTCTTTACTAAATTTATCATCTTCATTAAGACTTGAAGAGGAGTTGGTAGTACTAAACCACCTAGTGGAAACAGTCTCTTGTTGAATTGCAGGAACAAAAGGTTTTGGTGTCCCCAAAATCTTGTATTTGTGCATTCCACCATGCATAATCCAAGAGGTAGCTAGAAGAAGAAAAAGTAGCATTAGCTAATTTTGCAAACTGTAACCAAGAGTCCTCATTCCAGAAATAGGTTGTTCCTATTCACAATCAGTTCAGTCCATGGACCTGAATTAAATCCCAAATTGGCAAGAACTTGCAAACTTATGACAGAGACTCTCAAAGAAGCAATTTGATCCAATACTTTTTGGTATATTACAAGACAGTACATACAATAAAACTACAGTTTTCAACCGCCTATGAGAATCATGGGTCGATTTTGCATCAGAGGTAGATTCAGCATTCCTGAAGAAAAAAAGTGGTTGCTTTCTAATATTTCCTCCAGCTTACTTTGAGCATGAATAGTAATATTAAAAAAAAAGTAAACTTACCAGCATGCTGCTTCTTTTTCCGTTGAAGTGCCAGTCCCACCATTGTAAGTAAGTCCTCCTCACTACAATTATTTCTTAAGGCATCCCTGAAAACAAAAGTTAAGGATACATTTTTTTTCCTTTTCATGCCACATATTTATTACTCATAATTGCATCTATTTACAAAACCAACCTCAAGGATATTTCAGCATTTCCAAAGAGGCAAACTTTTAAGTTGCCATCTGCTGTTAATCTGATTCTATTGCAAGTACCGCAAAAGTTTTTACTCATAGATGTTATAAATCCAAGTTTTCCTTGTGCCCCAGGTATTTTGAACGCCTGAAATATTCACAATGTTATTACCCAGGAATATTTATAACCACTGAGGTTTGTAAACAAAAAATTGACTCAGAAGAATTGGATGAATTTCCTTGCCTTAGATGTATCATTTGGTTCATTCTCAAGTGCCTCTATCCCTGGAAATTCTTTACTCAATACAGATAACATTTCTTTGAAGGGTACCATGCAATTATCATTCCAACCATTGCCAGTGAATGGCATGTACTCAATGAATCTGACATCTACTTTCCGATCCAAAGTGAAACGAGCAAAGTCAGAGATTTCATCATCGTTAAAGCCCCGCATAACAACACAATTCACCTGTAATTGATTTAATGAATGTATGAACTAGTGTTTTGCCTAGATCTAATTGGTTGCCAAGATCTAATTGGTATGATAAAATAGTGAAATACCTTTACTGGCTCAAATCCCAGTTGAATAGCAAGGTCAATTCCTGCAATCACTCTCTCCCATCCCTTGCGACGAGTGACTTGCTCGTAACGGGCTGGTTGCAGTGTATCAAGACTGATGTTCAAAAGATTTAAACCAGCTTTTTGCAAGTTGACAAGCTGACGTGTTAGTGTCAGTCCATTGGTTGTCATCGCTATGGTTCTGAGCCCATCCAACTCATTTAATCTGCCTTCAATAAAATGAACTAGTTAGGAAAAAGTTTTTAATATACAGGATTTTGGAAACTTTTTTGTTTCTTACCAACAATTTCTGTCACGTCTTTTCTTACTGTAGGTTCTCCCCCAGTCAATCGGATTTTATCAACGCCTTGCTTGACAAATAGCCTTGCCAAGTGTACAATTTCATCAGTAGTCAGTAAATTTTCTCTAGGTGTTAGGGAAACTCCATCTCCTGGCATGCAATATGTGCCTAAAAATACCAGTTTTATAGAGAAACAAATGTAAAATATGATATTACTAACTTACTGTGTATAAAACTTACATCTTAAATTACACCGCTCTGTTAAAGATATTCTTAAATAGTTGTGATAGCGACCAAAGGAATCGGTGAGTGGATCAGTAATTTTTGCCTGAAATAAAATATTTGAAGCATATATTAGACAAGTAAACTAAAAACCACTGTTACGAGTCACGCTAAAATTTAACAATTAAAATAAAAGACACTGGCTTACCTCTCTCTCTCGCTTGCTTAAGTCATTTATTGATAAATGCAAAGACTTCCTCACATTGTCAAATGGTTTTAAAAATCTCTTAAGCAGTGAGAGCTGACTAGAAATTATGTAGGTGTTTTTCATGATTAATTAATAAGGAGACAAATTCAAATTGCTACAAATTCATCCAATGTAATGTTGCAGTATCTTCAGTGTTTAGACTAGCAAGGATTATCACTAGGTGTATAGGAATCTAATTAGAGTTCTTAGTTCCCAGCATAACTATAATGCAAAACAATGCTCGCCAGAGTTACCATCAGACCAACTATACTTTACCACTAAGTACCTCCAACACGACTGGCCTTGGGGGTAGAAGCGTTTCGCTTTCGCATAGGGCCGGGCAGTCGCAGTATCTGTTGATGATGAAGCGTAACATTACCCAACCCAACAGCAACAGCTGACGGCAAGAGTTGAGAAGGAGGGAGAGGGGAGAGGGGGGGGGGGTATAGGATTATAGGATATGTGACATTGGGGGGGGGGGGTAGAGGAGAGGAGAGGAGAGGACAATGAAATGAGGGACTGGGGAACAACTTCGGTTTATATAACTCTCCTGGTTTAAGTTTAATTGTGAGCTGTGATGCCCCAAAATCTATTATATTTTACCAAAACACAATATGTTTTAAACTGCGCGCTTTGTGAACATATGACATCAAACTCAGAGGATACCAACATTTATTGGGATCAGAGGCATCTCCGAAACGGAACCTACATATGTAATCCAAAGTTTAACGAAAACAAAATGTTTTTCAGAGAAATTGTAGTGGTAACCACATTAAATTCCGTTTCTCGGCTTGTCTTCATCAGGCGACAAAGGTCCTCCCTTTTGTTGTCACAGAAAAGCTGGAAACGGAAACACATTCAAGCTATAACAAGTTGTCCACCATGAAACAAAAAAAGCATGACCATTTTGTATATTGTAGAATTTTATTGTCCATTAATTTCATAAATGAATGTATTTTTGTCTCATGAAAATATTCTGGATTTGAAATTTTGTGTATTGGGGGAGATTTCTATGTTATCAAATTTCTACTGCATCTTTAAAGTTTAATGCCGTGCGGCAGGCAGGCCTGTTCGTGGGCTGGAAAGCCTAGCCGTGGCAGCCATTTTGGTTATTATTGTTGTAGCCTAGAGGGTCACGAATTATCAGTGAACATCGCCATCGTCAGTGAGCTTATTCTGAAATATTCCGGGATATTGTGATACTAGGTGTTCAAGTTCCACAAATTTTCACTCGTCACCATCCTCACGTCTTCTCCGGGTTCAGCTCCTTGTTGGTCCTTCGCAGCAGTGAACCGAGCTCAAAGATGGCTTGCGCTACGTTAAAACGTTCACTTGAGTTTGATCCTGTACATAGCCATGGCCGACCATCCAAACGGCAAAGATGTCAACCTATGTGCGTTTCACCAAATTCTTCACCCAAAAGTGAACCGATTGCGCCACCTTCTGCTTTCTCTGAAGTTTGCCCCAAGCTAACTCCAGGTAAGACACCTACGTCATTTGGCAGCCATTTGTTTCTTTTTTACTACCTTATTGGCCGTTTTTCGTCCTCTTTCATATTTTTAATGGGACTTCTTTTACTCTTGAGGTACTCTCTGCACCCCAATCTCCTGTACTTTTTGTGAGGACTTAAGGTTCTGCACATTTGGCCCAGTCAGATCAGCTGGCCTAGGGCTCCTAGGCATGTAACATCATCTCAAGAAAGTAGCTGTGTTTCGAGACCGATGCGTTGGGCTTGTCGGGCTTTTTAATTTTTCTTCTAGTTACAAAATTTATGAAATGGGCCAGTTTAGAAGATGCCCAACTTTGTTCTTTTCGGGTCTATTAGCTGTAGGTTCTTTGTTTTGTCTTGCGCCATTGTGATATAAAGGACTTAATTTATTAATTATTATTTGCTTATTGTTGTTTTACTAAAAGACACTTTTTTTTTTGTTAAGTCATTTTTAATTTCTACTCCTTAAGACATTTAAATTGCGTTCTTGTAATTTTATTCATGAATATCAGGTTATTGATTTCCTGCATATTTTCTAGGAATTATAAATGATCTTTCCGTGAGCTAGTTACTGTCAACCTATAATTTTTATTCTCTATTTCTATTAGAAATGATGGCAGCAACTATCAGAGAGGAAGTTCAGCGATTGCAGCGTAGGCGTCAGATGAATGGACAGTCTCATGACACTGATGGCTCGTCAGAAGCTTTGGAATCATTGTCCTCCACATCCTCTCTGCTGTCTCCCAGCACCATGGACAAGCCCCTTTTCACATTCAGACAGGTTGGTCACTCTTCTGTCAGCTATTGACAACTATCCAGTTTTGGATTTCCAATCTGACCTGTGTATCATTCTATTTGGTTGTACAGGTTGGAATCATATGTGAGCGAATGCTTCATGAACGAGAGGTGCAAATCAGAGAAGAGTATGACCGTGCTTTGAACTACAAACTTTCAGAACAGTATGAAGCATTCGTGAAGTTCACAAATGACCAACTTCAGAAGCAATTTCAAGCAAATACTGCTCCCAGCTGTGAGTACATTGTTTGATTCTAAAATGTCAACTAATGCAACCAAAATAAAATTGGTTGAAAATATTAATTGTATGTATTTCTTTTGTTTCAGATCTTTCGTGAGATTCAAGAATATTTACGATTTGCTGAATCAGGTATTCCTGGAACAAGTTTGGTACACCTTTTATACCAAGAAATTGTCTTTGTAGTTTGTGAACCTGCCCCTCAATTTTTATGGAAAGGCTTATATTATTAAAATCAGTAATTCAGGACTTAAGTTTTCTCAATGCCATGATTAACTCTTATCCCAAAGTTTCTGTAGCATGTGACAGTGTCATGTTGGTTACATCTAATGTAAGGCCATTTTCCCGTCTTATTATTTTAAGATTTTACAATATCACAACTAATCTAAAGTGATCTAGGTTTATACAAGGTACTATTAATAGTTATTTGCCAGTTTGAAGGAGCAGTCTCTATGACTGATGGTGATATTGGAGCTTTTAAATATATAATTTGAATATTTTCATCACTCTTATCTCTGGCAAGGAACAATTGGAGGGGTAGGGAGGGGACAATATTAAATAAAAACAAAGCTTTTACGAGTCTTTCCACTTCCAACAGGCATACCTTGAGCCAAATTTTGTGTTCAAATGAGGTAAGGGTATTATTAGATTTAGATTAATTGGGTATTTCAGATGCAGAGTCTTTTTTCGTCTTAAGTGACAATTACTTTTGTAACAATGCTTTTTAAAATTTCAAGTGTTATTACGAATTAAGAACTTGGTAGGATAGCAGGAGAGAAGGGCAGTTTAAATGTTATCTTGTTGAGTTAATTATTACATCTGTTTTCTTTCTTTTCATCTTGTGCGGACGATTTCAAACTCTTCAAATGATATTGCTTGATTTGCATCCCAGATGTACCAAGTTTCTAGTGTAAGACAAAGCATTATTTTTCATCTTAACATGCTTTAAAGACCTATATTCGATTTTATCTAAGTGTTTCCCCCTTATTTCAGTGCTATGTTAAAATTCACTTAATGTGCATCATTCTCAAAGAAACATCTTTTTTTGTTCTTTTTGTTATTTATGTAATTTTTAGCACTAAGTATATCTTAAGTTAAAATTGTTCTCTTGATGTTTGTTGTCTTTATTATTCTGTTGCCTTTCAGTTTTATGCCTCAGTTTCCTGCAAGTCATTGCATTCATGAAGTCTTGTTATCTGAGCCTTATACTGGACTGTCTGGTTGAAGAAATTGATGGTGAACAGAGAACTACATGTAATATAGTATTGAATGCTCAATTGTGTTAATGCACATGATTTGTTAAATTTGGAAGATTTAAGACCCTGTCCTTTTCAGAAAGTGCAAACCATATTCTTCACATGGTGTACTGGTGTACATACAAAGTATATTTTTAACAAGTAACTTTAATTCCTCAAGCCACTCACAAATCGGTTTGGCATTGTATCTGAAAGGTGAAATTAAGTGATTAGTAATCTCTCAATTTGATGACACCATGTTGATCTGTGATTTACCTCTCATATATCCGTATACAAAATTTTCTTGTTAACAATTGGAGAACATGGCAACTCATACCTCAAACATTTTGTTGCTGGATGCTAATGGGTCCTAGGACTTCTTAAAATTAATTCTCAGGGGTGTGATAAAAAAAACAACAGTAATTTTGTTTTGTTTCCCCCCATTTTTTTTTCATTTTTTTTGTTTGTAGACATGCAAAGTTCCCACCTTAGTAATAAGAGCATTTGTTGTAGTGGAAACTCTGCTGTACATTATGTAGTTTTAATAAAATGTAACAGTTTTCAATGTTAATTGCAGCCTGGATTTGTAAACTTGTGAACAACATTCATTATTAATAAGCTGTTTTTGTTGGGAGAAAACATAGTTATTGCGATATTTATATTAAATTTTTGTATCAGCGTAACCATTTTTATGATGGTAATTTGTGTGAATGCTCTGCAATAAAGGAAGACAATCAGCTTATGCTTGTTATTTCTACTCCAAATTGCCAGTGCCAGTCTATAGTATACCTACGGGAACACTAAAACAATTTTTTGTTCCTTCATATAGAGCCCAGGCCTCTTGGTCAATTTTGCTAAATGGCCCAGACACTGAAACAGGAGGAAGCGGATTAGGTGTCTTCTCTGAAGAAAACTGCCCCGTTTTAGACCTCTAAGCTCGAGTTTCTTACACATTTTATGGGTGACCTGAATGTGGGAACACAGAAGTATTTCTTTTAACAAGTCAAAAAACTAGAGACCGTTTTCAACTTACGGAGAATCATTCACGTGTCTAATTCGTTGGGGAGTCTTGGGGTTGGGTCCGCCTTAACATCTTTAGCAAATGCGCGTAGCTGCCGCTGTGACATTAAAAGGTCGTCGGAGTAAACAACTTTTCCAACTAGTTAATTTAATGTTCTTTATGGACTTTTCTTACAGCGCCCCTTCTCTGTTGCCGCTCTTCCCCCTACTCTTATGCAGTAAGCCAGAGGCAGTTTGAGGCCTTGGCATTAAGCGTTGTCGTGCCTTTTGTTTTTCTTCGTGGCTAATTATTAACTTTTATCTCCTGCCAACTCTGTGGACCTTCTTTACGACGAGGGTCAAGACGCTCCGCACAGGGCTATGACAGGATCTTAACAAATTTGTGCGCAACCGAATCCCATAGCTAGCCAGCCCTAAGCCCTAGTGCGCCGCCTGAAAAGTACGCAATTTGGGCCACAAAAACCCTCCAAGTAGGCAACCCACGGTGCCCCCCTCCCTCCTGATAGCGGCATCTTACCGCGCCTGCCCTAGACTTACACCTAGGAACGTTATTGGGAACGCCTCTGCACTTAAAGGCGCTTAGGGCGGGCCACGTGCTCCACACAGCTGCTTGGCGGGTTGGTCTACCCGGGTACCACAGGCGTCATCATTAACGCCTTGCGATGGGGTTTTCAGCTGCCCAGTACCTAATGGCACCAGCGACGGCGCGCAGTACAACGCAGTGTCCACATCCACGCTCTTCCTCACAGTAGGAATAAGTACTCGTTGACTTAATGAGATTTTATGTGCTTTTGTTTCAAAACTTTCGTCCAACCCCGATTCGAGTGAGCATCTCCACCCCCACCCCCCCTTGGCGTGCAGTGGTACAGGTCACGCTTGTTCCCGGCCGCTCTCCTCCTTCATCCTTACCCTCGTTTCCCCCCTCTCCCGTGCTGCAGCACTTTGTTGTTGCTGCTTTGTTTGTCTCGCAGGATGATTTTCCGTTACGCAAAGTTCCGGCCGCGATATAGACTAGGCGGGCCTTCTGGCCCCTAATCCGGTCCGATCTAATAACTTGGGCTGAGCTAACAACGGCCGCCCCGCCTGCGAGGGTGCGCCAGGCCATGGCCAGGCTACGCGTGAGCCGTCGTTAGGGCCCGGCCGCCTGCAGCTGCCGCGGAGGGAGGGAGGACTGTCGGGCGCGTCAGATATTGACGGAGGCGTCGCCCCAAAGTTTTGTCCGGAAACAAAATAACTTTGACCTCCTCAACAGAGTCGTTTGGGAATGCGGCTCTAGGGGCGGAGCTAGGCTAAGGAGGCTCGTGCTCAGCCACCGGGACCGGGGCGCGTCGTGCTCTGCTCCAGTGCCTGGAAGACCCCGGAGGATAAGCCACCGTCGCGCTCAACACTTGACCGAAATACGTCCCTGGCGTCGCGTGGCGTGGCGCGCGGGTCCTGGCCCTGTAGGGAGGCTGAGCAGCAGTGTGTCATGCCACGTCCTTGGGCGCTCACTGTGCCAACCTTTGAGCGGCAAATGACTGATCGCAATCTCGTGACGAGCCCGCGCTACCCCGCCCCGCCACGCTGTTGGCGCCGCCACCGAGCCCACCGAGCTGCGATAATGCGGAGCGGGGGCCGGAGCCGGGTAGGCAGCGCGCTGGCGCCGCTGCAGGCGTGTTGCCTATCTGCCGGGCGGGCTCCGCTTGGCTGCCGCGTTGCTGCCGCCGTAGTCCAGGGCTCGACCCAAGCGACTGCTACATATATGCCGGAGAGGGCAGGGGGAGAATGTTTTTCCCCCCTCCAGACAAGACACCAAATTCCAGCGGCAAACGCAACTCTATCCGAACACTAGCGTCATCATTATCCCCCTTATTACCGTGCCCTAGATAAGGCGTCCTGTTTCCCACTTGCCCCCCGCCCGGGCCGGGCCGCGTGTCCCCAGCGCGGCGCAGGCGAGAGGTGCCCGGCCGGTGCCCCCCGCCGCCCTCCACCGCCCCCGCCTCTCACGGTGGCCTAGCTGCACTCCTCCGCACGGCCCGGCCCACCCTGCTGGCTCCTTTTCGGCAGAAGCCTTGCAAGTACAGCCCACCTAGAGCGCCCGGGCCGCCCCGGGGCGCTGCTCCGTGCTGGGTGAGTGCATGCTCGTTGGAGGGCTGACCCACATCCGGGGAGGAGGCGGGGCGAGAGAGTCAGAGCAAGAGAGACAGGTGCGCGATGAGCAAAGATCGCTATCGTCCCCATCATCTCACTCGACCTCGGCCCGCCGGGCCCTCCCCGCGCTGGCCCGGCACATAGGGGCGGCCGTTAGGTGTGCCGACCCAAGGAGCGCCCAGACACCGCGACCTTCCCGCTTCGCTCCAGGACCTCCAGGAGGTCCGCCCCGCGCGATGTCAGCTCTAACACCTCACCTCCCCAACCTTTCTCTTCCGTTCTGTAATCATGGTTCTGGGGCCGTCTTCTTTTACGGCGCCGCATAAAATTTTCTGCCCCGCATCATCCCAGCGGTGCGCCTTTGAGAGGTGAGAGGGGAGGGTGATGGCCTGCCTGCCCGCCCAAGCCCTGCCCCGCGGCCCGCCGGGGGTGGATTTCCAATTATAATAATCTTTGTTACTTTGTCGCGCACTCTTTATTTCATGGCGTAGCTGGAGGAAAGGGGTCGCCCCCCCCCCTCCCCTTTTTCCCTCCTCACTAACTCCATTACAATTTCCCGGCGGAGATTTGAACCCTGGGCTGGCAGCCCTGATGCCTGGGGGACAATTAAAAAGAAAAGAAAGGCCACCCACTAACTAACTAATCTCGCTACTCTCCACAGCAGCCGCCTCCCCCCGACCCCGACCCCCGCGCATGCATGCATCTCGAAATGTATATCGGATTATTTTCTGGGCGAGTGAGCGGCGTGCGGAGGAATGCCCTTCTTTGATGCTCCATCCGGGATGAGCCAGATAATCCCTCATCCTCGCTTGTAGCTCGCAGTGCGCCCCGCTCTGCCTCCGCCCCCGCCCAGGCCCTCAGGTTGAGGTTCTTACGGGCCCACCCTTGCGCCCCCGCGCCCGCCGGCCCGCCGCCCGCCCCAGCACGCTCCAACCATAGCAAAAAGCCCTTCTCCCACTTCCCCGCTCTCCCTGCGCGAGTGGCGAGGCACACATAGGAAATTATTTTGGACGGATTTATCATGCATATGCATAGCGAGCCTCTCCGCCAGGCGCTGAGCCGCGCAGCGGGGCGGGGGCGGCAGGCGGCAGTGTGAGGTCGCCCGGCTCTGGCCCGCGATGTCCGAGCATACGCAGCTACCCTCCGTCCCCTGACTGGCCACGGCCCGCCGCCCCACCCAGGTCACCCTTGGGCTCCTATAGGGGGTTCCGAGGGGATGTCAGCAGAGTCCTTCCCGTAGGGACGGCGCAAAAGTATGGGGAGTAGTATGGTCATGCGGCCAGGGCCCCGGCCCGGCCCCGTGGGCTGCTCCCCGCACTCCAGGCCTCCAGCCTCGAGCGGCCTGGCCCGTCCCGACCCGGTCCTCGGGGACAGCCATGAGGTTTGCCTTGCTAATGGGATAATGAGGCCGGGCAGGCCGGGCCGGGCGGCCGGGGAGCGGTCTGCGTAGGCACGGCGCCTCCTGGAGCGGGCCGTAGCAGCCTAGAGCGGCCGGCAGCCCCTGGAGCCGGACCTCGCAACGCCCCAGCAGTGCGGGGCCTCCGCTCATGTCGTGTGTGACCCACCCCCCGACAGGACAGCCGCGCGCTGGCTACGGCCTCCTCCCCACCTCCTTGGCTTCGTACCTGGAGCGCCGAGTCGCGTTGCAGGTGGACCATACTTCCGACATATAGCTACCCTTTCTCTAGCGTCACGTCAACCCGTCTCTGCAGAGTGTGTCCATGTCTGGGCAGGGCCGCGCAAGTTTGTCACCGGGGAGAGGAGGAGCGACGGGGGTGGGCGCCGGGCTGGTGATACCGCAAAACGTATGTAAATGTCCAGGGCCGCCGCTGTGGCTCTCTCGATAAGGGGACTCTGCCCGACGCCGCCCGGGGGCAGCACTGGCAAAAGCGGCGATAGGCGGTGGTAGGGCGGCGATAGGCGGCGATAGGCCGCGACAGCCGGCGATAGGTGGCGATAGACGACGATAGGCGGCGATAGGCGGCGATAGGCGGCGATAGGCGGTGATGGTCAGCGATAGGCCGAGATAGGCCGCGACAGGCGGCGATAGGCGGCGATAGGCGGCGATAGGCGACGATAGGCGGCGATAGGCGACGATAGGCGACGATAGGCGACGATAGGCGGCGATAGGCGGCGACAAGGCGGCACACCCTGGTCCCTGCCGGGCTACCTTTGTAGGTCGCAGGGGCTCTGCCCGAGGTTTGCTCTGCCCCAGCGCGACCCGGCATGGGCATCATGAATCCTCTGCTAGAAACGTCGACGGGGAAAGGGGGCAGCACGTTTCTGACCGTACGTTTTATTCCCGCAGATCTCGGCCGCGCTCGTCGCGGGTATTCATTTCACGGCGCGCGCCCCTCTCCCCGCCCCGCCCCGCCCAGCACCTAGAGCGTAGCCGCGCAGCCCTACCCCAACATCTGTTACGCCGGCAGGGTCGGGTAGATCTTGTTTCGGAGAATGAAAGGGGATAACACAGGGACTGCTGGGAACGGGGGAAATGAAACTTCAGCGAAAAATATGGGGTGGTCTCGCCTCCATCTTCCTCTGCTGCCACCGCACCGCGCCACTCCGGGCCAACGCCTAGCAGCACT